CAGAGCACGGGAGAGAGCGGAATGCGAGCACGTGAGAGAGCGGATTCAGAGCACGGGAGAGAGCGGGTTCAGAGTTCGGGAGAGAGCGGAATGCGAGCACGGGAGAGAGCGGATTCAGAGCACGGGAGAGAGCGAATTCAGAGCACGGGAGAGAGCGGATTCAGAGCACGGGAGAGAGCGGATTCAGAGCACGGGAGAGAGCAGATTCAGAGCACGGGAGAGAGCGGATTCAGAGTTCGGGAGAGAGCGGAATGCGAGCACGGGAGAGAGCGGATTCAGAGCACGGGAGAGAGCGGATTCGTGCGCCAGTTGTTAATACGGTTCTCATCTCAACGCTTGACGCGCTATTAATGCCAGGCCAGCACATGATTCCAGCTGTGCGCACGCAACGTATTTATGAGCGGGCGTCTCACCTGATTTCTAAGGGTTTCGCGGGTGGATCGGGAGGGCGAGAGCGATGTCGCACCGCGAACCCGAGCAACGGTGAGGCGGAGAAGGGGGGGGTTCCACAGCGCGAGGATGAAGCAAGCGGAACCGGAGCGATATGCGCCTCCCGGTTATTTAGATAGGCCGAGATAGATATGCGTAACGACAGTACGGTAGAAACAGAGGAGATACCTGGGTTGCTAAGAGCTTGTCAAATGATGTGAGAATCTGACATCGATAGATACAGGGGAGATGCACGGTGTGCTTTGACGTGACGTGAGAAACTGACTTCGAGAGACGAACGGGTCCTGGCGGGAACGAGGATGTCGCGACTCCGGATCTGGGCAAATACATGCTGTATTGAGGATGATCACAATTGCGAAGCCAAATTGGTTGATCACCAATAAGTCAAACGGTGGCTACTTGAGATTAGCTACATAAACGAATGTAATTATCTCCTGGAATGTATTTTTCCCCATACAACACATATATGCTTGCCCAATAGCCGTAGTTGGAACCCTACTTGGGCCCTCACTAGGCCCACTCGTACTGTTACTATCCAAGCCATGTACCATGCCTGGACCAGACTATGCATTGTTCGCTGAGTGATACACTGCACTATATACCTACACGAGGCTCTCACGTCTCGATTTGGTGCAAATCAATTGATTGAACTACCTCAATGTGTGAAGACTTGGTGCTTAGAAAAACAACCGGACGATGAAACGGTGACACGTTGCATACTGTCCTATCCCTGCACACTTTCAGGCCATCGAACGCACAAACAAACGTCACGTGCGACGTAGTTGAGCGAATGAGGGAAAACTAGTTCCTAAGGCATAGTAATAGAACGTCATATTTGAATATGTGAAGAAATGGTGCTTGAAAAAACCATGGGATGATGAAACGATGACATGTTGCGTGCTGTCCTATCCTTGCACAGTCTCATGCCATCGAACGCACAAACAAGCGTCACGTGCGGCGTAGTTGTGCGAATGAGGTCAAACTAGTTCATATGGCAAGGTAATTGATCTAAATATCTGAATGTGTGAAGAAATGGTGCTTTAAAAAACCATGGGACGATGAAACGGTGACTACTGTCCTATCCCTGCACAGTTTCATGCCATCGAATGCACAAACAAGCGTGACGTGCTGCATAGTTGTGCGAATGAGGTCAAACTGGTTCCTGTGGCAGGTTAATTGATCTAAATGTCTGAATATTTGAAAAAATGGTGCTTAAAAATACAACCAAACGATGAAACGGTGACATGTTGCGTACTGTCCTATCCTTGCACAGTTTCAGGCCATCGAACGCACAAACAAGCGTCACGTGCGGCGTAGTTGTGCGAATGAGGTCAAACTAGTTCCTAAGGCATATTAATAGAACGAATTATCTGATGTGAAGAAATGGTGCTTAAAAAAAACTATGGGACGATGAAACGCGTACTGTCCTATCCTTGCACAGCTGCATGCCATCGAACGCAGAAACAAGCGTCACGTGCTGCGTAGTTGTGCGAATGAGGTCAAACTAGTTCCTGTGGCAGGGTAATTGATCTAAATTTCTGAATGTATGAAGAATGGTGCTTAAAAATACCATGAGATGATGAAACAGTGACATGTTGCGTACTGTCCTATCCTTGCATTGTTTCAGGCCATTGAACGCACAAACAAGCGTCACGTGCCGCGTAGTTGTGCGAATGAGGTCAAACTAGTTCCTATGGTAAGGTAGTTGATCTAAATATCTGAATGTGTGAAGAAATGGTGCTTTAAAAATTCATGGGACGATGAAACGGTGACATGTTGCGTGCTGTCCTATCCTTGCACGGTTTCAAGCCATCGAACTCACAAACAAGCGTCACGTGCTGCGTAGTTGTGCGAATGAGGTCAAACTAGTTTTTGTGGTAGGGTAATTGATCTAAATATCTGAATGTGTGAAAAAATGGTGCTTAAAAATACGTGGGACGATGAAACGGTGACATGTTGTGTACTGTCCTATCCTTGCACTGTTTCAGGCCATCGAACGCACAAATAAGCGTCACGTGCCACGTAGTTGTGCAAATGAGGTCAAACTAGTTCCTATGGCAAGGTAATTGATCTAAATATCTGAATGTGTGAAGAAATGGTGCTTTTAGAAAACCATGGGACAATGAAACGTTGACATGTTGCGTGTTGTCCTATCCTTGCATAGTTTCGGGCCATGGAACACACAAAGCGAATGAGGTGAAACTAGTCCCTATGGCAAGGTAATTGATCTAATTACCTGAATATGTGAAGAAATGGTGCTTAAAAACAAACACACGATGAAACGGTGACATGTTGCGTACTGTCCTATCGCTGCACAGTTTCAGGCCATCAACATACACAAACAAGCGTCACGTGCAGCGTAGTTGAGCGAATGGGGGAAAACTAGTTCCTATGGCATGGTAATTGTTTGAAACTCCTAAATGTGTGAAGAAATAGTGTTTAAAAAAACAACCGGACGATGAAACGGTGTCTTGTCACGTACTGTCCTATCACTGCACAGTTTCGGGCCATCGAACACACAAACAAGCGTCACGTGCTGCGTAGTTTTTCGAACAAGCCATAAACAGTACATGTGGCTCGGTAATTAATGGTACTACATGAAAGTGTGAAGAAATGGTGTTTGGAAAAACAATCGGATGTCAAAACGGTCTCATGTTGCGATCTCGCCTATCCTTGCACAGTTTGAGGCCATCAACCGCACAAACAAGCGTCACGTGCTGCGTAGTTGTGCGTATGAGCCGAAAATAGGTCTTATGGCCTAATAATGGATTGTACGACATGGGTGTGAGAAGAAATGGCGCAAAATAAACAACCAGACATCATATCGGTGACATGTTGCGACCTGGCCTGTCCTTGGAAATCTTCATGCCCTCAAACGACCAAACAAGCGTCACGTGATGCGTAGTTGTGTGAATCAGCTGAAATCAGTTCCTGTGGATAGTCAAGCAAACGAGCCACCTGAATGTATGAAGAAATGGTGTTAATACAAAAACCTAGACGTTAAAACGGTGACATGCTGCGATCTGACATGTCCTTGCACAGTTCCATGCCCTCAAACCCTCAAACAGGCGTCACGTGGTACGTAGTTGTGCGAGTTAGCCGAACTCAGATCCTGTGGCTAGGTAATTGATGGTACTGCCTATCATGCATGAAGAAATGGTGTTAAGAAAAACAAACGGATGACAAGCGTCACGTGCTCCGCAGTTGTGCAAATTAGCTAAACTCGGTTCCTGTGGCTACGTAATCGATGGTACTGCCTGAATGCGTGAAGAAATGGTGGTTTAAAAAACAATCGGACGACAGCCAGGCGATTATGCGACAACATGTTTCATACAATACTGTCATAGCACAGTTTCTGGTGATGAATTCACAACCAAGTGAGTGCGGGACCTCCGTCATCATCATCGTCGAGCTGCACATCTTATTGATCGACGTAGCGCGAACATGGTATACGCAGGCCCTGGCACGCTTACATGCAGAATACCGTAGACTGCAAGGTCGGCTTCGTCCAATCGTGGACGGACCATTTGACGTCAACACGTACGAGCTCATGCCGAACCTTTGGAATAGCATCCTCGGCTTCGCCTTCCGTTTCATGTCCTGCAAGGTCGGCTTCGTCCAATCGTGGACGGACCACTTGTACACGGCGTCGATTTCATGTTCGACAACCCCGATACAGTTATTTGGAAAACCAAACTAGTAGGACAGAACAACTATATTTGATAAGTTGCATATTTATCACCAAGAAAATAAAGTTCTGTATTTCCATAGCTTTAAAGCTACTATCAAAGACTGATCTCATATTACCACCTGCGTTAAAATCAGGTCCGGGTTCGCCTCCCACAATTGTGTGGCGCAATCAGAATGCCCTGACGGCCGACGCCGCGTCACGAATGGGAAGAATCACGCCATGTTGGCTCGCCGACCAATCACAATGTTTCTGAGTTGTGCTGTCTTGGTTCATTATCTTCTGTGCTGTCACAAACATCCTCGCTTGCTGCAAGGGCGACCAATTGGAATGTTCAGGAATGTGTTGTGAGGATGCGTTGGCGACAACGCAACACCACCGCACCTTCGCCAAAATGGCGTGCTTCTATCGACCAGTCTCTGCCATAGCGCCAGCCATGGGTACAGTCGAGAAGCTGCGCGCGGTCAGCTTGTTAAAATCTCTAATCGCGTTTAATACACTCACCAAGGCAATCCCTGCCTTGGTTATAAGGGTTGTTACGGCCCTACACACTCCAAAAACGTCCATCATTCTTATGGAGCTCAGAAGTGCTGGAGTGGTTCGGGCAGGCGATGGAACGGGTAAAAGAGTTCAAGCACCTCGAGGTCCTGCAGGGGTCACTCTCTCCTCACCATTCTTGCAATCGAGTGAACCAGCAATCAAGATTCCTCCAGGCCTTAATGAAAAGGCCTTGCTGAAGCGCCTGCTGCAGCGTAAAGCAGCGAGAAAGGCAATGAAGAGAAGGCCCCTTGGTCCTTTGGGCTATCAAGTTGAGCCAGAGCCTAGTAATGTTGCACATGGCACGCATCAGAGACCGAGCGAGATGACACCGACGGCAGAGGCACCTGGCACCGCAACCATAGAGGGTCTCCATGGTCAACTTGTCAGCTTCCCTGCTGATTCTGAAGCATTGCGAGGAGGCCTGGTCTGGCAGTCCGTGGGTGGCAACGAGGCGGACGACAAGGAAAGTGACTCGTCAGAGGAGGAAGATGACAAGATTGATGAAGCTGGAGGAGGCGATAAGCAACTACCGTTCGAGCCGGTGCTGGTGGGTGGTGACGCAGAAGCTGCGACTGGCTACGAGCAAGCAGAAGATGGAGCCGGTGTTGGTAACTTGCAAGCCTACTCCGGTGCTGCCTTGGGCCACATGCAAGCAGACGCTGGAGGCGCCGACGGCAACGGGCAGTTCGTCACTGGAGCTGCGGCTGCCAACGCTCAAGCCTACGCTGCCGGCGCCGACGGCAACGTGGAGTTCTTCGCTGGCGCCGCCGCTGGCAACGCTCATGCAGTCGCAGGAGCCGCCGACTGCAACATGCAGTCTTTCGCTGGTGGGGCCGCTGGCAACGCTCATGCCGTCGCTGGAGCCGCCGACGGCAACATGGAGCTATTCGCTGGTGGGGCCGCTGACAACGCTCATGCTGTCGCTGGAGCCCCCGCTGGCGATGCGCAAGTCGCTGCTGGTGATGCCCTGCCGACTCGGGGACGTCGTACTGCACGTAAGGTTCCTCTCTTAAATTGCTGTTTTCCAGCGCATTCGTTCATGTATGTTATTGCCGTTGAATGTGTTGAACTTACTCATCTCCCTTGGTGCCCATGCTTTTCACTGTTTCGTGTTTGCACACTCAGTAATGTTTATTATTGGGTTTACAGCAGTGTGTGCTATCCTTAAAGTTCAACTCTGTCACATATCGTTGTTGTGTGTACGTGATGGCAGTACCTGGAGCTCATCATGCCACGATGAACCTTAACCTTCTCGCCGAGATCGATGATATGCACAACACGATGTCGATCCTGTAGGAGAACCAAGCGTCACTGACCCAGGTTGAGCAGGAAAGGGATGCGCTTCGTGAGGAGGTTTCTGTGCTGCACACGAAGATTCGCTTGCTCCAATCGAAATCAATCGACGAAGTGGAAGTTGTGGATTTCAATTATCCACAAATCGACATGGAGAAGTTGTGAAGAAAGAGGAATGAATGAACTAGGAAAGTGTGTGATACAAATGTGAAACCCTAGAATTGAGTACCCCTTTGTGTCTACCCTGCTACAGCCTACATAGGCTAGGTCATGTATGTCTGACACACCCCCATAGGCAAAGTGGGGGAGAACAAGGGGTCACAAGACCAGTCAAGCAAAGCAAAGCAAAGCAAGCTCAGGGTGGATCACAACGTCACCACACATTCCGAGCACAGGTTCAAAGGCCACAAGGCCAGTTCACATGCAGGATTATATATAAAGGTAAACAAGCAGGTGCAGGTATATAGAGATCACAGTACAAGCAAAGTCAAGAGGTAAGCAAGTGAGGCCAAGTAGGCACAAGACCTAGCATAGTACAGAAGCGCTGATGATCACAAGGCTGAAGTGCCTTGGTGAAGATATCAGCAGTGTTGGCCTGAGAGGCCACGTAAGCAAGGCGCAGCTGACCACGCTGCTGCAGCTCACGAGCAAGGAAGTAGCGAAGAGCAATGTGCTTCGTTCTGTGCTCCAGTCTGTGCTCCCGACACAAGGCCAGCATGGCCTTGTTGTCGACGTACAGAACTGGAGGAGAACGAGGCGGCTTTCCCAGGTCAGTCAGCAGGTAGGTGAGCCAGCGTAACTCCTGTGCAGCCATGGCCCCAGCGTAGATCTCAGCCTCACAGCTGGAGCTGAGAACAGAAGACGAGCGGGTAGACCGCCACGAAACAGAGCCGGAACCAAGGCTGAAGGTGTAACCCTGTGACGACCGCTGCGTAGCCAGGTCGTCAACCCAAGACGCGTCTGCGTGACCAGTGAGGACCACTGAACTCCGCCCTCCAAGCACGAGCCCCATGCCCGACGTACTGCACAAGTAGCGCAACACCCTCTTCGCTGCAGCCATGTGCTCTGGTCGGTGTCTCCCAGGAGCAACATAGCGTGCCAAGATGCTAAGAGGGTATGCCAGGTCAGGTCTAGTGCAGGTCATCAGGTACATGAGGCAGCCAACAAGCTCTGGGTACAGGCCACTCGGCTCTACGGACTCATCCGAAGGCAGAGCTGAGAGCGAGTGGCGAGTAGACAGAGGAGTGGCCTGAGGTGAGGAGTACGTGAAGTCGAAGCGCTGAAGGACCTGCTGCACCATGTGTGACTGAGTCAGGGTAATGGTGCGCCGTGCTCTGTCCCGGGTGATCTGCAAGCCAATATAGCTGCGCAGTTCACCCAGGTCTGTGCACGTGTGTCTCTTCTGCAGCTCGGACTTCACGTGGGCGAGTCCAGCAGTGTCAGCAGTAGCAAAGACCAAGTGGTCGACGTTCACGAGGATGTAGAACGGCGGCAAAGCGGTGTCGGTGCGTAGAAACAGCGACGGGTCGGCAGTAGAAGGAGCGAACCCAAGTGCCGCAAGCGTAGTCCTCAGTGTGTTGTGCCACTCACGGGGCGCCTGGCGCAGACCGTAGACTGGCCGCCGGAGGCTCCACTGGGTGCCAGGAGGAAACGACCCAGTGAAGCCAGGTGGGCGGCGCAGCCAGATCTCCTCGTGCAGGCTGCCCTGTAGGAAAGCAGTGCTGAAGTCAAAAGAGTGAAGCTCGTAGTCGCGCTGAGCGGCTATGTGCAGCAGCACCCGAAGAGTGGTAATCTTCGGGGTGGGAGAGAAGGTCTGAAAGTAGTCAACTCCCTGCCGCTGACTGAAGCCTCGAGCCACGTAACGCGCCTTGAAGACAGGCGGAGAACCCGGCGGCCGCTTCACCCTGAAAATCCACATGCCACTAACGGTGTTTGCCCCAGGTGGGGGAACGTCGTCGACGTAGGTGCCTGTGAACTTCCAGGAAGCCATCTCTGCGTCCATGGCTGACTGCCACTGAGAGGAGTAGGGACCCTCTATCGCCTCTGCGTAAGAGCGCGGGGTCGGGATGTCTAGTGCATCCGGGTCTCCCTCAGGGGCAACTAGCATGGACACGAGATGAGGTAAAGCAGCAGGAAAGCACTGGAACTCCTCCTGCCTGTCCTCAAGGACGTCCGTGCTAAGAGCACACTCACCCCCGACGGACGGAGGACAGACAGACTCAGACTCAGCAACAAGACTAGCGGCGTAGTCTAGACGACAGTGAGCAGCGAAGTCGACAAGCTCAGCAACTAAGGCAGACGCAGCAGTGGACTCAAAGGAAGGGTCAGTGAAAACAGTAGCCAGGAGACGCGTGACAGTAGGACTGGCAACACGAAGGGAGTCAGATGCCGGGTCAGCAAGAGCAGGAAGAGAGGACTCAGGAGGAGACGGCAAAGGGACACGCAGTGGAGCAGTGGAAGGACGCAGTGCCATCTGGTGCGTGCCCGGGACCGCAGGAGGGCGCTGACGTGGAACACGACGACCAGTGCGAGCAGCACGAACAGGCGACGCAGGACGCGACTCAGGCTCACGACGCTCAGCAAGACCTCTAGTAGGACCAGTGTAGGGAGAAGGAGCAGGCAGTGGGGAGGCCAGCTGTAACTGTGACTCGGACTGGACAGGCGGTGGACACTCTAAGGAAGGAGCAGGACTAGAAGAAGGCGGAAGACCAAGAACCTGCTCAAGGAGCGGAACGAAGTACGGCCGCGGCCGCGCAGCGCCTCCAGAACCAGCAGGGACAGCACCAGCACCCCCAGCGTCAGCTCCAACTCCAGCAGCACCACCAGCTCCAGCAGCACCTCCAGCAGCTCCAGAACCTCCAGCAGCTCCAGCTCCAGCGGGACCACCGGAAGACGCAGCAGCTCCGGCACCAGTACCCCCAGCAGCACCTACTCCAGCAGCACCGCCAGCTCCAGCTCCGCTAGCAGCTCCAGCACCAGCAGCACCACCAGGCCCAGCAGCTCCAGTACCTCCAGTACGAGCACCTCCGGGACCCGTGGCTCCAGCACCCCCAGCAGCAGTAGAACCTCCAGTACCGGCAGCACCACCAGCTCCAGCAGCACGGCTCCAGCGCCGAGCAAACCACTCGCGCAGCTCCTGTGGAGAGGGTAGCTCCCGTCGGGACGAAGCACACGAAGGACCTCCAGGCCCACCACCGCCAGACTCCACACGAGCAGGCTCAGCTCCTGCAGGCTCCGCACCCCCAGACTCAGCAACTCCAGGCTCAGCACCCCCAGACTCAGGAACTCCAGGCTCAGCACCCCCAGACTCAGCACCCCCAGGCTCCGCACGCTCATGCTCAGCACCCCCAGACCCGGCACCCGCAGGCTTAGCACCCCTAGCAGCACCAGAGTCAACAGCTACCTCGACAGGCTCGACTGCGTCTACCTGGGACCTGGCGCGAGGAAGAGCGGCGGGGGGGGGAGGGGGGCAGCGCGGTAGGGAAAGAAACGGTAGTACGGAACCGACTCGTCAAACGTGACGTCCTGGGAGGACAGAACACGGCGCGAGGTGGGGTGGTAAAACTGCCAACCAGGCGCGTCAGGGGGGAAGCCAAGGAAGACGCAGGGAACAGCACGGGAGGACAGCTTGTCCGCAGACAAGTCGCGGACGAAAGCTCGAGATCCCCAGACACGGAACGCAGACGCATCGCCAACCTTCCCCGTCCACCGCAGAGTAGGGGAGGTCTCCGGCATGGAGACCCGGGGCTGAAGGTTGATCTGATGCGCCGCGTACTGAACCGCGAACGGCCACAGAAAATGGGGAGCAGCCGCATGGATCATGGACGTACGAGCGACGTCCATGACCATGCCAATGCGGCGCTCAGCAATCCCATTTTTCTGTGGAGATGCTGGAAGCGTGAACGTCTGGCGGATGCCCTCCGCACGACAGAAGGCTCGCAGAAGGTCGGGGGAAAACTCTCCACCTCGGTCGGAGTGCAGACGCAGAACAGGAAAGTCCGAGCCGAAACTCTCTCTGAGCTGGAGACGGGCAGCGCGGATCCAGTCAATCAACACCTCAGTGACCTCACCCTTGCGGCGCAAGGGGAAGACTGAGGTGTAACGCGAGAAGTCGTCAACCACCAGCAGGAAGTAACGCTCGTGACCCTGTCCACGGACGCGGGTTGGGCCCCACACGTCCATGTGGAGAGTCTGCAGCGGAGCCTCTGTCGGAGGAAACTCGGAGGAGTGAGGAGCGGCGCGCTGCCGCCCCTTGACGCAGGGAACGCAGGTAGGGGCAGGCCCCGGAGGAAGGGGAGGGAGGGACCGGGGGAGACCAGAGACAAGGAGACGGGAGGCCATGCCTTGGAGACGAGGCAGGGAGGGGTGACCAAGGCGGTGGTGCCAGAGGAGGGTCTGGTGGGACAGGAGGCGACAAGAGCAGGGGGCGGACTCAGGACCAGACCGAGACGCTGCAGCAAACACCTGACCCGACTCAGCTACCTGACCAGACGCAGCAACCGGAGGAGACTCGGTAGTCAGTGTGTACAGGCTCGACCCCGGCTGACGGGTAAACGTGGCCAAGTGTCGGCCCGTCCGAGCACACGTGCAGTGGGTCACTCGCTGACTCGCAGGAGTGAACTGGTCAACCCCTCCACCCTGTAGGTCAGCACCACTCACCAAGTTCGTAGAGAACGAGGGGAGGTAAAGACCTGACAGGGAGCCAGAGGGGGCCGCTGGACACGGTAGGACAGTGGAGTAGTGGGCAAGTACAGGACCCCCAGAGGGGTCTGCCAGGGAGACTGCAACCGGCCGACTAAGCGGCGTGAGTGTGGTGCGGTCTCGAAAGAAGGAGCGGGAAGCACCCGAGTCAAGGGTGAAGGTGTGTAAGACCGCAGCAGGCGCAGTACCAGAGAGAGCAGACTCACCAGCACCTGGAGTAGTAGACTCACGAGCACCTAGAGCAGCAGCCTCACCAGCACCTGGAGCAGGAGACATACCAGCACCTAGAGCAGCAGCCTCAC